CTTCAGCTCCTTCAGCTTAACAAATGCTGAGAGCTAGTTCAGCCCTTCTGATTTTCTGACTCCAGCTCTTTACATATTTCATTATAATACTTTGTCTTCCGATGCTGCCCTTTGAAATCTTCTGTTCAGTTCCTTAATTTCTTGATTTTTTCTATTTGCTTTGATTTCTCGGCACTCTAGTGCAATATTCAGAGTCCTTTCTGATATCATGTTGGTCTTTTCTTCCTCCTCTTTCTTTGTAATTACTCCCTGCATTTTTCCTGGATGATAATCTTTATATCCTCCCACAGCTCATCTGTTCTTGCTCATTAGTGTTCAAGGGCTCAAACCTGTTCCTGAGATTGTTTTGCAATTCAGGTGGGTAGACTCAAGGTAAAACTTTGGTTCCCGTGGATTTGATTTAATTTTCCTTAGCTTCAGCTTGAACTTGCATATGAGTAGTTGGTGGTCTGTGCCACAAACAGCTCCTGGCCTGGTTTTCAAAGCTGATATAGGGCTTCTCCAGTGGTTCTTTCCACAGATGTAATCGATCTGATTCCTATTCATACCATCAGGTGAAATCCATGTCGATAGCCCGTGTTTATGTTTTTTTATAAAAAAGTATTTGCAATGAATAAATTGTTGATTGTACAGAATTCTGTCATTCTGTCTCCAGCTTCATTTCTGTCTCCAATTCCATATTTTCCAGCAACTGATTCTTCTTCCCAACTTTTGCATTCCGGTCACCAATTGTTATTAACGCATCTTGCCTGCATATTCAATTGATCTGATTGCAAAAATTGGTAGAAATCTACTTCCTCGTCTTTGGCTCTGGTTGTTGATGAATACATTTGGATGATGGTGGTATTCACTGGACTTCCTTGTAAGTGTATGGATATTATCCTATTACTCACAACACTGCATTTCAAGTTAGCTCTAGATATTACTTTTTTAACTATGAAAGCAATCCCATTTTTCCTCATCTTTTCATTTCCAGCACAGATCTTCTGATCATCTGACTCAAAGCACTCCAGGCCAGTCCATCTCATTTCACCAATACCTAGTGTATCAACATTAATGAGTTCCATTTCTTTAACAATGCCTAATTTTCCTACCTGCATAGTTCTTGTTGTTGTTGTTGTTGTTGCTGTTATGAGGTGTTGAGTCAAATATAATTCATAGTGACCCTATGAAAACCAGATCTGAACCCTGTCCCATCCTGTCCCATCTTCACATTTCCTGACACATTAGAGGCCACTGCGGCAGTCACTGTATCAATCCACTTGGTCCAAAGTCTTTTCCATTTGTTCACCCTCCGCCCTCCCAAGCATCATGTCATTCTCTCCAAGGAACAGCCACTCTTAGCAATAAGCCCAAAGTATTTGAGGTGAAGCTCCTCCATCTTTGCCTCCTGCTGCACCCTCTCCAAGACATATATGTTAGGCTATCCATGGGATGTTTAGTACTCATCTCCAAGATCATTCTTCAAACACATCAATTTTTCTGTCATCCTTACTGTCCAGCTCTCAGATGCTTACCAAGTGATTAGAAAGACTACTGCCTGAATCAGACATACCTTGGTCCTCAAACTGACATCATTACTCTTCAATAATTTCGAGAGGTCCCTAACTGTAGACTTTGCCAGTGCAGTACATCTCCTGATTTCCTGACTGATGGTTCCAAAGGTATTAATTGTAGATTAAAGCGAAGATGAAGTTGTTGACAGATTCAATCTTTTCTCCATCCATCATGATGGTGCCTACACTCCAGTAGAAGAATCTTTTTTCCCCCTTTACTAGAAATGTAGAAACTAGAATTTTAAATTGGACAAGAAAACAAATAATTTATATACTGTAAGAAAAAAGTGTTATCACCTAGGGTCACTGTAAGTCGAACTCTACTCGACAGCATCTAACAACAAAACCAAATGTAGTATGTGAAACTTTATTAAACTCTAACACAGAAGTCAGCATAAAGATTTTCTGTCTTGAGATACATACATCAGAATGTTTTCACTGTTTTCCACATGCACTGTTTCCTTAAAGTGAACTCCAGAGTCAAACTTACACTGAATAAAGATCCAATGATAATTTCATACAAGTTAAAAGGAAAAGATATTTTTATTATATATCACTATTTTTAAGCTTAAAAGTTAACTACAACTCAAAAATATATCACTCTTTGGAGCTTAACCATTAACTATAACTCAAAAATAATGCTCAATTAAACAGTTTACCTCATAGCTTCTATAATCCACTTCTACATCATCTCCATATACATTTAATTCCATGTTCTTGTGACTATACACTGTGGCTGGCTTGGGATTTCTAGGGTTACATGCCATATCATCTGCAAGCATGAGGACAATGTGACTGGAAATACAGGAAAGAAAAAAAAAGCCAATAAATACACAACAAATAATAACAAAAAAAGTTAACCACAGATAAACTTATTAATACAATGCGAAAACAATCTTTTTTCTTTTCTTTCTTAAAAATAACTATACTACACACCCCTGCATCTCTGACCCACGACCCCCATCTTCAGGTACTGCATTGCTCCCCCCCGACCCGGCTCGCGCCCCCCCCAGCTCTGAACTTTGGGACTGGCCAAGGGCTGTGCGCAGACGCAGTGAACGCTGGGAGTGGACTTGAATCGGGACA